CTTGTAAAATAGCAATCGCTCCCTGGAGGTAACTGAAGAAGAGGAGAACAGAACTCTCTCCCAGGCAACTGGCAGAGGCTTGGCCATAGGCCAAGGCAGCCACAGCCTTCGGTTCGCGGCCACCACTCACTGACTGCAAGATCTTGCAAGACTTACCAGACAGGGCTGGGGTCAGTGTAAGAGCAGAGCAATGCTGGCCTCGCCCACAGGCACCGAAACTGCTTAGCACACAGCGGGTGCCTGGTCAACTGATAGTACTTCTTTCCTGCAACGTTACCTGCCAGTAAATTCGAAGAGAGGGGTTTAAAGGTGCTCCCATTTTGCAGATGATGAAACCAAGGATCACAGAGGCTGAGAGACTTGACCAGGGTCACGCAGCGGGTAAGTGAAGGGAGGGGGAACCTGAGAGCCAGGCCCAGGTATTCTGATGATATGCCTGCTGCTGTTTGATCACCCTCCCTGTTTGTCTGGAAGATGTAGCCTCAGGGGGCATCCCAGCCCCTGGGTCAGAGGCCAGCTGGGCTGGGTTACTCTGCGCAGACCCTTGTTCACCTGGCTTCCTGGGAAGGCCTTTCTAAAATACACTCTAGTATTGGGGCATCTGGGTGGCTCAGTCGGTTAAGCGTCCAACTTTGGCTCAGGTCATGATCTCTCCATTGGTGAGTTTGCGCCCCGTATCTGGCTCCACCCTGACAGTACGAAGAACCTGATTGGGATTCTCTCTCTCTCTCCCTCTCCCTATGCCCCTCCCCAACTTGCATGTGCTCTCTCTCTCTCTCTCTCAAAATAAATAAACTTAAAAAAATAAATAAAATTCGCCCTAATGCTGGAAACATGACCCTTTGGTCTCATAGTGTCCACTGTGCTCGTGGTTTATCCTGTGTTGCAAGTAAGAGTCAAAAGAACCCTAGACTTGGTTTCTGGAGCTGCAAATGTGTTTGGGGGGTTACCTAGTTCAACCCACCCCTCGCAGATGGGGTGACTAGGGCTCAGAAAGGGCAGAACGATTATCTGCTATCACATAGCAAATTACTGACAGGGCTAAGACCTACACCCAGGTCACCTGTCTCCCCATCCAGGGTTCCCGGAAATAGCTGATTCACCCCAAGGCCTTGGCCCTAAGGGAGGGAAGCTGAGATGGGTGGAGGGATCCATAGAGGCCAGCACAATGAACTGAACTGGAACTCTCCCACCTCCACGTCCTTTCAGTCTGGGTGCCCCCCTGAATAGGCTGTGTGCAGGGGTGGGGGATGGAAAGGTGTGTGCCCCTAACCAATGGCAGTCAGGCAGGGGCTGAGAAGCCGGCGGACAGGAAGCCCCCAGCACGTCTGGGCGATCAGATAACCAGAATCACCGGGGGTAATTGAGGAGAAGGAAAATATATTAACATCTACAGCGGCAGCAGCCAAGAGCATGCCCGCCCAGCCTAGATTAGAGCCTCCCCCCTGTCCCCCTGAAGAGGAGCTTGCAGCCCAGCCGGCCAGCACAGCCTTGACACACAGCAGCCCTTGAGGAGCCCCTGGACAGAAGGAAGGAGGAGAAAAAGGGAAGGGGGGAGGTCGTTTTGTCCTAAAGATGAAAAATGTTTTTTTCTCACAAGTGTCTCTGAGAATCCCAAAATGTCTGAGGTGATCAACTATTCAGCTTACACAAATGGGGAGCCTGGTGTCCAGGGAGGGGCTGACCCCTGCCCCAGGCCTCGCTTGACTCAGAATCCAGGGTTTTGTCACCACTTCATGCTTTCCCTCACCTCCCAGGGCAGGGTTTTGAGCCCTTAGCTAATGCCTGGGTCTTAATTCACAAAGACAGAGCTGAGTATCAGGGAGGAGACAGGAGGGCTCAGGGCTGGGCTTCAGGAATTCTGGGATCTTCTCCTGGCTTCCCTCAACTCCTCTCACAGTGGAAAGTCACTATCTTCCCATCTGATTTAATGGGGGCCATAAGCTATAGTGCACACAGAGCCAGAAAGATCTGGGTTCAGAGAGCAGCCCTGACACTTGCCAGCCCCACACTTTTGAGCCTCAGTTTCCATATCTATGAAAGGGGGATACTAATCCCATCTTGGAGAATATAGAAGATTTGATGGGATTGCATTATACCCGTTTATGGATGAGGAAACTAACACACGAGAGTTTAAGCAATTCGCTCAAGCAGTGTGATACTGCTAAAAGTGAAATTGGGTAAAATCAATATTGGAGCCTAAGTCGGTATGACTCCAAAGGGTTTTCTGTTTCTACTCTAGCCGGGAGCCAGAAGGAGATTTCTGGATGAAGTGCTGCTTATGCAAATGTTGGCAGGCAACTCATTCAGCCTCTCTCGAAGCAGAAAGTTAGACCCAGAGGTGGGTGCATCCAATTGGACCCAGGCCACCTGGAATGGCTCCCACTGTGGTGGCCAGGGTGCCTTGCCGTGGAAGAGCTAAGGACACTCTTGACCCCTGGATGCCTCTGTCTCCAGCCTCTTAGGTGGAGCAGCCTTGACCCTCCCCTGCCCTTTCTAGACACCCCACCCAAAGCCCACCTTCCTGCAGCTTTTATAACCCCTAGTCTCCCACAGTTTTTACTGACCCTGATGCTCTAGGAGAGGAGACTGGGTGTCCCAGCACGTGTTCACAAGGACATGCCTATGACTCTATGCAGGAGTGCATGGAAGCACATCTCTGTGCATGAACTTGGTGGGGGCACAGGGTTTGGCCTCATCTTGCAGATGGATATGGCCATGTCACTTGTGTGTGCTCCTGAATGTGTGTGGGCCTATGGTGGGTGCAAGTATCTCCTGACTGTGTTCTGACCATTTGTGGGGTGATGTGTCCCAGCCCTGTGTGCAAGGGGGAATGGCTGTCCACGTGCAGAGAGTATTCTGTATGGCCGAGAACCTGCAGTGGGCTCTGTGGGCCCAGAGGTGTGTATGTATATGGAGGTACCTGCAGGCAGGCTAGGGCAGCTTATGGGTGCCACTTCATGGGCAGCTGCAAAGAACGGGGGGAATGGTGTTTTAGGGACCTGAGGCAAACCCCTCTTCACTAAGTCTATGCTTCCCTTCTGCTAATGAACTTGATTATCCTTGAGATTGTGCTTGGGACTGAGGCCCCCCGGGGTGGGGGCAGACAGAAGCCATGGCAACCTGAAGTTGCCCAGCGAGTTAGAAATGGGAGGGGGGGGGTGTACCATCAGCCAGAAAGGCCAAGGTGTGTGTGGGGAGAGGGATGGACACTCACCTCACCAGTCTTGGGACAGTTGCCTCAGAAACACAACCGGAGCCGCAGCCCAGGTCTATGCTGGGCAGGGAGCAAACTCTGTAGTTCTTTCTAGTTTCTAAAACCCAGTTCTCAGCCCATAGCTCCGTGGGGACAGGAGGCAAGGTGTCCAGAAAACTCCCCAACGGTCATCCCAGAGGCTGGAACGCCTGCTTTCTGGTGCCTAACGTTTACAGCGCGCTTCACAGAGCAGGGCGCCCTCTCTTCCTTTCTCCGCGGAGAGCTCAGAATGGCTGATCCCTTTTCCAGAAGTGGAATCAGAGGACTCGAGAAATAACCCCCTCAAAGGACTTACTGGGACGCCAACGCAGCTCTCCGGAGCTGGGACGTATTGGGTCGCCTAAAGCACCCGAGCTGCACCCCCCCCCCCC